CCCCCCCCAGCTCCTCCTCTCCTTTGTCCCGTCTCCCGGGCAGAAGGTGTCACTTCTCCCAACCCCCTCCTGGCTCAGGTTACAGCTCAGGGATCTTCCTTCCCATCCCCAATGTAACCCCCCTGCAACATTCCCAGGTCAAATCCGCCCGCTCCCTGCTCCGTCACAGCCCTGCCGGGGGCTGGACCCACACTCTGCTCCAGCCCTGCACAGAGTGAGCGAATTAACCCCTGCAGCCCTGGGTGGGGCCAGGATCCTCATGCCTGCTGAACACAGGGGGAAACCGAGGCAGAGAGCCGGGAAGGGAGTCACAGGGGGGGCCCTTGCTGTCAGGCTGGGGGGAATGGGAGTGGGGGGTGACAGGGGGCCAATGGCTGTCAGGCTGGGGGGTGGGGGTGCAGCGGGCACAGGGAGGATGGGAATTGGGGGAGGGGGGGGGGGGTGGGGGGTGACAGGGGGCCCCTGGCTGTCAGGCTGGGGGGTGGGAGTGCAGGGGGCACAGGGAGGATGGGAATGGGAGGATCAGGGGGCTGGCTGTCAGGCTGGGGGCGCTGCCTGGCTGGTGGGATGTTGAGGGAGCAGAAGTGACGTGGCCCCACTTGTGTCATTTCCCAGTGTGATGAAGTGGGACTGTTCTTAATGTTTTCTCCGAATACTGTGTGGGTGCCTCAGTTTCCCCTATGCCTTTCTTAAGTCTCTAGGTGGTGGGATAAGGGGGTGCGATTGTTGCAGAGCCCTAGGGGACCAGTGTGATGGTGTCTGCACAGAGAATGGCCGACATCCTGTCTCCCGGCAACTGGTGGCCTGGGCCCCTCCTCTGCAAAGGTGCCAACTGAAGGTGTTGGAGAACAAAGAGGTCAGGTGACCTCCTGGCCCGGAAAAGGGACAAAGGCCAGAGAGGAGGGGCTGGGGGGAGTCTCTGTTTGGAGCTAGCTGGGATAATGGAGGGAGGTCCAACACCGGCGTCTCGGCTCCCTGCCCCCCAAGATGGACTGGCCTGAGGGGTCCGGGTTTCTGTACCTACAAGCTGGTTGGGACTGTGTTCCTGTCGTCTAATAACCCTTCTGTGTCATTGCCTGGCTGAGAGTCCCGGGGAATCGCAGGAAGTGAGGGGTGCAGGGCCCTGACTCCCCCACGCTCCGTGACACCCAGTCGCCCGGCCGGGGCTGATGCGCTGGGCCTGGGCTTGCAGTGCCCCTGGGCGCCAGCAGCCGGAGCCCCCTCCCCGCGGAGAGGCCAGACTGCAGGTTCTGGGCACCGGGGGAGGGTTCTGGCCTGGATCTCCCCAGGTTCCCTGCCCAGACCCCGCACGCCCGGCTCAGGCCCGGCCCTGCCATGGAGCCGAGGCAGCCCAGGCAGCACTGGCTGGTGCGAGGGCCGGGGCGAGCGCCCCGGGTGCCAGTGGTCACGAGGGGCATCGGGGTGAGGTCCAGAGCCCCATGGCCCGGGAGACACGTTCCCATAGAGACTCAGGGGCGAGCTGCCAGCCGCCTGACAGCAGGATAACGCTTCCCGGCTCCCTTCCAGCTGCGCCCGGCTCCACCGGCACCGCGCCCGCCTGCGGCCGCCCTGGGGGCTCCTCAGGCTGACACCCCCGGGCTGACACCCCCGGGCCGGCCCAGGGCCGCTCCACACACCGGGCTCGTAGGGTTTCACCAGCAGCACACGGAGGCCTGTGGCTCCGGGCTGGGTCATGCCAGGCAGTGCCAGGCCGGCTGCGCTGCTCCGTACCCATCTCCACCCCGACCCGGCGGCACCAGCGCCCTGCACAGCAGCCGTCCCCGCAGGGGCTCACTCCGGGGCGCTCCCCCACCGCTGACGGGGCAGCACCGGTCAGTAACGAGAGGGGAGGGGAGAAGCCCCTGCCAGGGCCTCAGCCTCCAGCCTCCAGCCCGTGAATAGTTGAACTGAGCAAACAGATCCCTGCACCCTGCAACGTGCGGGGAGAAGTGGCCGCTTGGCGCGCTCTGCTGTCCCGGCCTCGCCCAGCAGGGGGCGCTGTGGGGAGTGGGGCAGGGGGCACTGGCTGTGGGGGGAGCTCCCAGCTGGCCTCGGCCAGCAGGGGGCGCTGTGGGGGGGGAGGGCCTGGCACCGACGCCCTTGGGTGCTGGCTGGAGGGGACGGCGTCCTTGGGGCTGAGTGCACTGCTGGCTGCGGCACAGAGACGGCGCGTGCCGGCCCATGTGGAGCGGCGTCTCCAGAGCCCGCCGGCCCCCGGCGCATGCTAAGCGGCTGGGCTGCGTGAGCAGACGGGGACTCGCCGCCCGCCTGGGGCTGGCCCCGGCACCTGCCCCTGCGGCTCCCTGGGCCTGCCCTGCAGTGCCGGGGCTGGGGAGACCCCCCCCCGGAAATAATGAACCCCTCCCTGTGCCAGGGCACGGACCCTCCCCCCACAGAGCCCCTCAGAGGCCAGGCAATGCTCTGGGTGGGATGGGGCAGGCAGATCCCACAGCTCCAGCTGCTGCTGAGGCTCCCTGGCCGTCCTGCAGGTGGCGCCCTCTCCCTGCCTCAATGAGAGCGGAGATGGGGCTGCCCCCCCGACCCCTGCAGACACCCCCAGAACCTGGGAAAGGGGAGACCCCCCCATGGCCCCAGAGACGCCAGCCCTGCACCCCCCCCCCCCCGGCCTCGTCTGACTCAGGGCGCACCCAGCAGCCGGGCGCGAGGCCGGGTGCAGGCAGGGTCCTGCCAGGGGATGGGAGCAGGGCCAGCTCCTTCCCCGCTGTCTGCCCAGGCTGCGGGGGGTGTGTGTGTGTGTGTAAGATCACGTGTTGGGGAGCCTGGTGCAAGCACTCAGAGCAACTCACCGGGCCTGGAGATCCCCACCCAGCCCCCTTCCCGTGGGCACAGAGCCCCTCCGGCACAGCCAGCACATGGGCTGCCCCACACCCCCAGCGCAGAGCGCTGCAGGCCCCAGGCCCCCCGGGCAGCCCTGGCGGGCACAGTCACCCCTGCAGTGGGCAGCGGGCGACGGGAAGCAGAGGGTGTTTCTCAGAGAATCTCCCACGGTTCCTTCCCCGCAAGGTTGAATCTGAGTCAGAGTTTGGAGCGACTTTAATTATGGCTGGATCGATCGGCTCGGCACGGCCAAGAAAATCCAATCGCGGCCCCAGGGGCTCCGGGCTGCATCCTCGCTAAGTGGGGCCGCTTGGGGCTGGGGGGACCCCCCCCCCCCCCCAGTGCAAACACTGCTTCGGCTTCGTGCCAGCTCCAGCCACCCCACCATGCGCCTCCAGAGCCCCCCGGCCTGCTGGGGATGGCCCCGCCCCCCCGTCCCAGTCCTGTCTCGGGGAGGGAGCAGACGGGGGTGGGGGGGCACCAGGGGAAGTCAATTAGTTTTTCTCAAGGTCCAGGTCTTGGGAAGGTCCAGACTCCAGAGAGAACACAACACAAACGATCATAACGATCCGAAGGAAATACAAAGATGTTGCCGTCTGTTCCAAAGCGTCCGGCGGTCGGGATTTGGCCCCCGGTCGCCCGCTGGCTAGTGACTACCCCTGGGCCCAGGTGCTGATTCAGGCCCCACACGGGAGTGCCTGGCCCCAGTCTCCGCAGGCCCAGTGACTCCCAGAGAAGCTGCCCCACAGGAGCTGGAACTGGGGGGCTGGGGGGCTGCCGCACCCCCTGGCTGGAAGTGGCTTCGATCATATGCAGCAGGTTACAGTTGGGGTCA